TTGCATGTGCAGTTGCAGTTGCAGTTGCAGTTGCAATTGCAATTGGAAGTTTGCTTCTTTTTGACTGGGTTATAGTACGAAGGGTCGAACGAATGGTAAGGGTCGGACTTACTAATGGAGGAAATGAGAGGAAGAGGAAGACAAATGCGAACCTAGGAATAACATATGTTACTACAAACGTGGAATGCGTGTTATCGGTGAAATAGAAAGAGGGAGAAAGAAGATAGGAAACAAATGTTTTATTGTTCCCTATCAATTAGTATACTTTTGAACGCGCTTTTTTTTAGTTTTGTTTACACTTTTCAGTTCGAATAATAAATAATTATACGTGTTTTTTTGGGATATGCGATAAGGAGACATTGGCAACAAAAATTACAAAAAAAAGAAAAAGAAATAAAAAGCAAAGATAGGAAGTAAAAAATGTTTAAATACATTGCAAATCGAGCTTACCTATACTGAGATATTTTTTGTGTACCGCTTCGTAGGCGGTCCATTCAATGTTTTTGACCTTTGTACGTTCGGGTCTCGAACCTATCAGACCAGGATCGGGTGTTCCCTCGTTAGGATTACTGCGAATAAGAAGAAAAATGTTTTAGCTTTGGAGTAAAAGAGAATTTCACAATTTATATGCTTAAGAAATTGTTCCTTATGGAAATATAGTAACATATTTTAACCGGTCTAGGTTTGAGAATTTGGAAATCGATAGGAAGTTTAAACGATATTGAAATGTATATATATATATATATACTTGTACGTACCCGGTACGAGCGAAATTCGTCAGGTACAATATAACGCTTTCGGAGAGAGCGATTTCCGCTCTGGTGTAATTTTTCGGCCAATGTGCCAAGCCCCCGACTATAGGTGCTCCAAAAAAATATGGCAGCTCTTCGCCGTGGATACAGCCAGGTCTCTGAAAAGGAAAAGTGAAAACTCGTTAAAATGCTTGTAAAAATAAATAAAAAAAAAAACAAAACAGAAAAAAAAGACGAGAACACCGTAGAACAAGTTTAATGGGAAAAGCTGAAACGTTTCGACATTGCACCTACGTACCAACAACATCTCGATCAATCGTTTCCGAAACATTTTCAAATATTTTTTTTCAAAATAATTTTCAATCTCTATGCACACACCCGCGTATCGACGATCATATATATTTTTTTTCTTTTTTTTTTTCAACTATTTTCATTTTTATTTATAGTTACCCATCGTCGCGTATATTCGTCGTAATTTTGGTATTTATTTTTTATTCGATCGTTAATAATTTAACTTGGAAATATGGTCAAAAATTATTCATAAATTTTATATATATATATAGATATATATAGATGTATATTATATACTCTCGCGAATTATTATTTATAATATTATATAGGGAGAGAAATGAATATTTTCCCTCTCGCAAAATTTTGCCATCATCTTTCACGAGCGACACTCTTCTTTTTATCACTTCCTCTCTCTTTGTTTTTTCTTTTTTTTTTTTTCTCTATATTTTTGGATTACGTGTCACGCAGAGAGAAAACGTTTGGGCACCGTTATCGATCCTTCTCTCGTTCGAGAATTAATTCGAGACTCCGGCGAATACTTCCGAGCTTGTCTGCCAAACCGCACAGTCGATCAATCATCGCTGTCATCTTGCAAGGTCTAATATCGAAAAGAAAAAGGAAAAAGAACTTACAAGAAAGAGAAGAAGAAGAAGAAGAAGAAGAAGAAGAAGAAGAATAAGTATAAAGTATAAGAAGTAGAAAGAAAAGAGAAAAGGTAGAGGAGGACAAAGTAGAAGACTAAAAAGGAAAAATAAAAAATTAAAACAAAAAACGATAAATACAAAACTTTCCCTATATATATCTATAGATATTCTTTTCTTTTTGTTATTTATTCTTAAACAGTGATTAAGAACAAGGAAAGAATAATTCAAAGCTAAGAAGAATAAAAAAAGAGAGAAAAAAAAGAAGAAAAAGAAATTAAATGCACTCTTTTGTAGTTGTTGGCGGATTGCAGCACGAAAGGAAAGATGAAGTTGCGACAATGAGGGGGAAGGAGGGAGCTAGGGGCTGGGGGATAAAGTCGTCGAAAAAATACGCCATTCGTATTCTGAATACGGTAAGAAAGTTTTTCACGAGAAAGTACAACAACAAAAATACCGATTGGGTAGGAACAATTATTGGGTCAGGAAGAAGTAAGAGGGTACGAGAAAGGAACTGTGAAAGGATGCAAAAGAGAACTTTCGTCTCACCTTTTTGGTTGTAAACGTACAACCAGTTGTTTTAGGTTGGAAGGGTTAGATGGTGGTGGTGGTGGTGATGGTGATGGTGGTTGGTTGGTGCTTGTTCAAAACGAAAGAGAAAAACAAAATAAAAAAAGGAAAGAAAAGGTATGGTTTAATACGTTTTCATTTGGGGTATGTTTGGCCGATGCAACGACAACAACGACGACGACGATGTTCCACCTTCGAATGGACGGAAGCCAAAGCTATTCTCATGCAAAGTAGAATAGTATAAGATAGTGTTTGTTTCTAAAGTAAAATGGCGTCTAGGAAATAGATGCTACCAGTTACAACTAGAATAGACAAAGAGTCTGGTGTTATTAATCGGAAAGAAAAAAAAAAAAAAGAAAACAGAAAAAGGATTATCGAATTTATTTAAAACGTTTGCCGAACGTATATATTATTAAACAGTATTCAAATTGCATATTTTAGTATATTTTATTTGGTCGAGATTTGGGTAAGATAATAGAAAAAACTGTTAAGGGGTAACGATATTAAAGCGGTATATGAAGTGAAATAAAGGTAACCGTAGGTAATAGTATAGATTCAAAATGATGATAAGCAAAGAAGAGAATAATATTCGAGAGTCTTGAATAGGGAGAATAAATGAAATGCAGGAATAAAGGAAATTCTAGCTGGAGGAATAATCATCGCTAAGGTGAGAATCGCGTATCGGAGAATCTTGGAAAAGTCGAGGCATCGTTGGTTGGTTGGTTGGTTGGTTGGTTCGGCCGGTGCACCACCGTTTCGGTATCGTAAATAAAGCGAAACTTTCAAAACCAAGGGAGCTTATTCTCTTCGCTTCGTTCAATTATGTAGCTACACCAGCACACTGCAGTTTCCTTTCTAATTCGAGCTTACTCGAAGAAGAGCAGAACGTATAATACCGAGAAACAGAGACCCTAAGTAAATACGTAGTGTCTTCTTCTTCTTCTTCTTCTTCTTTTCATTGGTTGTATTCAACGTCTCGACACTACTAGCCAACCCTCTTTTTAAGGGAAGAGTATGCTTCCCCAAACAGAAAAGGAAAAAAAAACACAATGAGAACGAGAAATCGATGAGAGGTGAGATAACGGTGAGATAAGTTACCTTTTCAATTGTTAAAAGAAACAAAAAGTAAAGAGAGAAAGAGATTGAAATAAAATAAAATGTTAAATCACGCGATGTATTTTTTTATACTCTTAATATTATTCGCGTTTAACATTTACTTTTATTGTATTATTCAAAAATGTCATTTATCGCGAATAATTATTTACTGGTATTTTTTAGGAACTTTAGTTTATACATTTTTTAGCAACGAGGAGTACTTTTTGATATCATTTTCTTCGTATATCTTATTTTTTTTTGTAAATTTCTGATCGTGCAACAGATTAGTGACGTATTTTAATGAATCAATTATTTGAGAGGAGTTTTAAAATTTAGCGAATTGTTATATTTCTTTTCTTTTTCTTGTGTTTGTTTTTTCCCCCCCATCAATATACAGAATTCGGTCGAATAAATGAATTTATATTTCAATTTATCTACCTGCGGATAGTCTCCGAATTTAGTTTGATAGTCGAAAACGTATAGATAGGAATTCCGATGAGATTGGCTGTGAAGATCCGCAGTTCTCGTAGCAGGGGCAACGGTGTTAGCATCGCCAAGTGCTTCTAGTGTTTCGTCTCTGAAAAATTCATGGATAGATTTTCGTTAAATTTGTTAGTGGTGGGAATTATCCTGTCGAACAAGTAACGCCGTGAGAAGTTCTTTTTTTCTTTCTTTTTCTTTTCATATAGAAACATTGTTCTACATTGAACGTAAACGTAATTTTTTTATGCAATTGAAGACGCGAAATACAAATAAAATGCAATAAACTTTTTCTTGATAAATGAAGAATAATACTTTGGAGAAAATTCTATTTATTATTAAACTTTATTTAATATTTTTTGACAATTTATTCGATTTTATTTGATTATATAGAAACGTTAACGAACCTGATATTAACCGGATGCTGAACTGGTCTTTCCCAATCCGTGTATTCGTTAATAATTGTTGCTAAAATTTCTGGTTGATGATAGGTATAAGTATTGCGTACGAATTCACGAAGTATTTTAGTTCTTCTGTCGGCTTCGATACCGTACTGAGCGTCATCCGCGGTTAATGAAAAATACGCTTCTGATCGTACCACACCTACCATCAAATCGTACCTGGAAAAAGAAGAAAATAAAAACATTATAAATAATGTTTAATATTTGTTCACTTTAATATATAGAAAGAATGTTGAGAACAATCGTTGGAAAGTGTTTCATTTTACAAAGATACTTTTTCAAACAACTAACTTAAGTGTGTGTACAACGCACGTTTCAGATGTGTTCTTTTTTTTCTTCTAAATAATAACATTAATAATAATTAAAAGCTACGAACAAAAGTGTGTTAATTAGCTCGAAATACGAAGCCGTCGGAGCCGTTTTTGTCGTCGGATTATGAAATAAAAGAAAAAAACTAACGAAAGAGGGAGGAATAAAAAAAATAAATAAAAACAAAATAAAAGGAGCATGAAAATTTTGTACATTTTGAACGTGATTACGTTCGTTAAACGACCAAATTAAGAAACGAGCTCACTTCAGAAAGGAGAATGGCGAAGAGGTACTACTTTGCATCGCGATAATTTAACATTCATCCTTATGCGGCAGCCACTTAGGTGGCAATTCAGCAACGTTTTAACGAGTGTCTTCGTATTATGAGTTAAAAGTCAAAGGTTGCCAAGTAACATTTCCGCCACAATTCTTCTTTTCCCCTCTAACGTTTTTCAGGATTAAAAACGAATTATTATCCTACGCGCGTTATCTTACGTCATGTTTCTTTGTTTTTACATTTAACCACGACTGTATTTTTGTACCCCTTGACAAATAATGCGATTCTTTAAACGAGTCACATCTTTTCGCAAACAAATTATAATACGATTATTTTTCATTAATATAATTTGAATTAAAAAAAGTTAACTAAATGTCAATTTATAAATGTTACGTACAATATACAACTGTATGCGTTGTACAATTAATTCTATGGCATACGAAATGGGTTAAAAACGTTTCCACGTGAATTATCCGAATTAGTTGGCATTTCCTTTTTTTTTTCTAGCTAATTATATTTTACTATTGATTTTTCTAATCAAGCCAAAAACTTTTTCTACTTCCTTCTGTATAATATTTATACATAAGTATATTAAAATAAACATAGAAAGAAATAATGAGGATTTTATCGATGGGGGGACAAATTTGTCATTCAGTTTATGCATTCGATCGAAATAATAATGGGGAGAAAAAATACCTTGAGAGCTTTGCTATGACATCTTTTCTCAATAAAATGTTGTTCAGCGTGTTTATCGTATCCACTTGTAAAGTGAAGTCTTGATCCTCGGGATCACCTGGATCGATGACAACACCGTCTATGCTTGGGCCAAAAGCTGGGGCAAATTCCAGACCCTTCACAGGGACTGATATCAAAGTGTTCAACGGTACGTCCCTGAGACATCGTAAAAGCGCTTGTGGATCACCAGCAACCTGTCGGAAAGGATTTCTCTTTTTTTTTATCAAACTTTTTCAGTCGGAAAGGACACATCGCTTTTTATGCAATTTTCAGAGTCTCTCTCTCTCTCTCTTCCTTTTTTTCCCATTTGTTTTTCGTAAAAAAAACTTTCTGCCGCGATGATGGACGCCGAACGAAATTTAGGACGAGCTTAAATTCGTACGTAGCTTTTATAAAAAGAACAACCAAAAAAAAAAGAAAAAAAGAAAGATATAAAAGTAACATTCAATTTCTTTCTCGTAAATAATTTTCAAAAATCATTGAATAATTTATAAGTACTTTGTTTTTTCAAATTGTTATAAATATGGATTACACGTTTTTTTCTCGATATCTGACAATTTTAACAATTTTTTTTCGATAAAAATGGTTCGAAAAATATCGTAAAATGTATATGTACTTTCAATTATTTTCTAACAACATGTTCTATCGATCATTTTAATCTTCGAGGGATGATCTCGAAATCGTGAGAAATAGTATCATTCGTAGACAATAAATAAATGAATAAAAATATTGCATAAAAGAATTTTCGAGCCTTTTTGTTTTAGAATCGAGATATATTTAACGCAACGTTTTCGTTATAGCTGATAAAAAATAATTTCTTTTTCTTTAGATTACTTTCTATTTCAACGTTCCTGTATCTTTTTTTTTCTTTCTTTCTTTCTTTCTTTTTAAATTAATTACTCACATCTCTCCGATTCTCACGAGCTTACAACAGTTCAGACTCGACATAGAAAATCTGTGTCATCATTGTGTGTGTGTGTGTGTATCTAGAGCAGAGGCGAATCAAGTCAAAGTGTTGGCCACGAGCGATAAAAATTACGGGGCCCTTCAAAACTCAAATTAGATAGAAAAAGTTTCGCAAAAATGTTCTCAATAAGTTGTTTTAACAGAAAAAAAAAAAAAGAGAAGTAAAGTAAAATTTTCTACTACGATGTAGGAGCTAAATTTATATTAAAAAAAAAAAAAGAAGGAACAAAACGCGTAATTTTTCTTCGAACCGAAAGAAATGAAAAGAACTTCGCAGACCTTCGGAGGGTTCCCTTCAGGGCTTTACGTGGCCGGTTAATCCGCTACTGGTGTAAAGAAAGTACCGAGTGTGCGTCGATGAACAAAAATGTTGAAACTAGGGCGACGAAAAATAGAGTAAAAACAAAACAAGAAAAAACAGATAGACTCAAAACCCAGAGTACTACCGAGGCTTTGTAAATCTTTGTAAGGAAGCAACAAGGAAGGTATACACCTAGGTGTAAAAGTAAGTACGCTAGTGTAATTTCCAAGAGACTACCAAATATTGCCCCTTCGAATTCGAGAAAAAAATGTTCTCCAACTTCGAGTTTGGCTGTTTTCTGACCGGAAGGAAAAGTTATTTACGTGAAGGAAACGAATTCACAGATATACTTTTTCTGCTGGACAAAAAAGAATGATGCTCGAATATTCTGTGTGAGCGATTAGCAAAGTAAGGAAAAGAAAAAGGAAACTGAATATTGGTGTCTTTTTTTTTTCTTTATAACTTTAATGATTTGACTCATCCGTTAAAAAGATTTTTGAGTGAAAAGGTGAAAGCTTATTTTTACGAAATACGAGGGAGAGAGAGAGAGAGAGAGAGAAAGGGTACGATGAGAGATCGTCATCGAGATAGAATTTGGTGTGCGAATGGCGGACTATGCCGACATTCGATTGCGGCAAACCTCCGTCTACGTCAAGCTGGATTTCCAGAGGCAATTACCGAGACGGCGTTAAAGCAATTCATTTGCGTACACTCGAATTAAAGTCAATCGGTACTGTGGCGTTCAGATACTAACTGAATTTCAGCGATCGTGATCGTATAAGGAAAGGGTCACCCATGGTCTACTCAACTAATTCTAACTATTTTAGTTTACCGTTATGTATAGAATATATATCTATATACGTAAAATATAAATATATTATTTTCAAACAATGTGAATATATCATATTTTATATCAAACGAAATAAGATTTTTATTTATATTTTTCTTCACATGATAATTATTATCAAATGTTTCTTTTTTTTTAGTATTTCCCATCGCAATATCGCGAAAATTGTTTTTCGCTTTATTTAATAAAAAAAGAAAGGGGAGGGAAAGGAAAGGAAAAAAAAAACAAAGTTCGTTTCCTTTTCTGGTATCTATTAAAAATGCAAGTGAGAGCTACTCACCGACGAGCAATTCAGATGTTTGGCAACTTGCATAGCGTAATTAGCAGCCCCTCTTACCAACGCCCAGGGCGAGAGAGCGCTACCTGACATCAAAACTCCGCGATGAAAAAGGAGTCCTGTTTGTGTGTGTTTTAGAAAAATATGTATTATAACCATTTTTCAAAGTATATTCCTCCTCTTTTTTATATGCATCACGTCATTATATTATTTGAGATAAAAAAGATGCGCAATACGTAAACAGGGTAAGTTTTATTCAATCTGAGACAACGAAATATCTCGGAAAAGAAAAAAAAAACATTTACCGACAATAGTACTGTAGTTTTCTTTTCTTTTTTTTTTTCGGCTGACGAACATACATCAATGTTAAAAAATCAAGAACTTTTATCAGTTTGATGAATAACAACTCACCCCCTGTATACTTGACGTATAGAGATTTTTACGCTAATTATTATTATTATTATTAAAAACAAATGTGTTTATTTTTTTCGTTTTTTTTTTGTCTTTTTTTGCGAATTAATGCAGAATTTTGTAGTTCAATATCGGTTAATGCACGCGAATGTCGATTAAGAACGAGTGCTTCATGGACATTGTTGCGAACGTTAAAAAGCGTATGGATCGTATACTATAGATCGAAAGAATAAATTGTCTGTTAATGGCCCATCCGTCGGTTTTTAGCGAGAATTGCTTACGCAGGATACCGATATACACTATCGATTCGTTCACACGTAGTACACCAATATATCATCGATAAAATGACACACATACACATAGTTGCTTTTAATTATTCGTATTACATTTGCGTGCTAACCGATATTCGTTGGCTTCGAACGATTCGACGAGTGAGTCTCCGAGGCACTAATATTCATAACACCATTACAATAATTACGATCGATGATACGCCATTAACATTTTCACATTTCTCCTTTTAATAATAATTACGGAAAATCTAGGATTTCTATAATAACTTTTATATGTTTGATATTGAAGTATTTTTAATTATATGTGTGTGCACACACGGTGGGTTCAAAATAGATCATTCAGACAATATCTGTTACAGATTTCATTTATTACAATTAAAGAGTTAAATATATTGTGTATTTAATCGACGTATCAAACGATAGGAAACAATCGTTAATAGATTAATGAAAACTCGTTGGATGTATATTGATTTGATAAATCGATTAAGCCCCCATTCAAGTTATGACCTAAAGAAAATGCAAATGATAGGAAAAAAGGGATTTTTAATTACTTACCGTCAGGTACGGCCTGACTAGTCATGAGAAAATTGACGCATGCAGCACCGGTACCGTGGCCCACTAACGTCACGTTTCCAGGATCACCCCCAAAATAGCCTATGTTCTCCTGTACCCAGTGTAACGCTGCGATTTGATCCATTAGCCCGTAATTTGCCGGCGACCGTAAGTGCGAATCTGTGTTGGCATTTAGAAAGCCTGTAATCAAAACAAACCGGCTTACGGTTAGTCCACTTCGTATAAGCGTATTCGTAGCTCGGTAACCTCTTTACCATCATCCCACAGTTAAATCACCATGAATTAACATTGCACAATTGTCAGAAAATTATTAGTTACCTTGGTTAAATGATATTGCATTTAAATTACAATCAAATACCGAAGAATAATATTAACCATTTCATGAATACCAATTTCAAATATTTATATCCATTTAAACGATGATGATGACGACGACAACGATTATGATAATTATTGTAACTGATGCATTTCCAATCTTAATCTGTCACAAGATTTTCTAACAATTGTTTTTGATTTAACATTTTTATTAGGGTACTGAAATACAATTAAAAGAAGTATCATTGTTACATTTATTTCACAAATCGTTGAACAGATCTATTATTATTGCATAGAAAGAAAAATCGTATTTTTACATGGGTTAGAATTTTCTCGGTGAAATGCATGGAAACTTTTTGTGGAAAAATACATAAGAAATACTTCAAATCTCAATATTGTTTTGTTCAATAACGCTTCTATATTCCCCGTTTATTTCAGATCTCACGGATCGTGTTTCTACAAAAATACACACGCTTTTGGTGCTGATCACTTATTCAGAATTTATAAGTTATCAGCTGCGTACAGATCTCTCTTTCTATCTCGTTTTCCTTGGTTGCAGTACAAAGGGAAAAATAATTTAACAAGTGTCGGTTTACATATTTGTTTTGTTCTTCTTTTTTTTTTTTTTTTGTTCGTTTCCTTGCACATGCTTTTATAGGATGAACTCTGATATTTCCTTTTTCGTTTACTAGTTAAATGGCAGGGCTCTGGTTTGCATTAGAAGAAATTTTATTGTTTATTTCTTTTCATTTTCTTTAGTCGGCTGGGATGAAGTTGAATTGTTTTTATATGCAAAAGAGAGTTCGAAGAAAGAAAAAAAAGATAAACTAGCAAGCGTAGAGGAATGTAAAAACAATAGGTCACATTCAATTTGATATTCCACATGCGACATATCTGTCATGGCACGTTACTGTCTTATTTTCCATTCTTCCCTATTCTAGAAAGGAAAAATTGCTGAAGCTTTCTCACTTAAATTTTCAATTTAAGTTTTCCGCTAAGCGAGCTAGCACAGAACACGGTTCAGAACGCAGGATGGATATCTGCTTTTCCAACTAAAGAGAAAAGTCTCGCTCTGCTATTGCTTTGAGGTAACATTTCGATGCTACGCGTTGCTGCTACTTACTTCTTCTTTTTTCCTTTTTTTTTTGTCAATCAATAAAAACAAGACAGACATTTTGTATTTTATCGTAGAAAAGAACAAGAAGGGACCCAGTAAGCAATGCCGAAAATTGTGCATCGTTGCAATTTCTTTGAAAAGTTTCAGCAAATATTTTTTATACTTATAGCAAGCGGATTTTAATGATTTTTATATTAAATTAAAGTGCATACTTTTGTCTACGCGTAGAGTATCTTTTCGCGTTATAAAACAATCTGCAAAGGTTCATAAAATGTCAGTTTTAGAAAGAAAAAAAAAGCTAATGAAGTATATACATTCGCAAGCATATATTCTGTAAATATCTTGCAAGGATAATAAGCACTTACCGAGAATTCCTAGTCTGTAGTTTATGGTAACTACAACAACACCACCATAACTCGCCAGGACGCTACCGTCGTAAGGATTGCCGCTGCTCCACTCGTAGCTTTCACCATGCACGAACACGATCACAGGATATCTCCTTCCACCACCATCCCTCGCACCGGCTGCAAACGATAAAATTATCCTATGATCGATCGACGTATATTACGTATATTCTTATCATACACATCTAACTACTTACATAGACAAGAGATATGCATAACCGAAGTACTTTTGACAGCTTATGTTAAGGCACTTTAAATTTATCTTTTAAAAATTTTTCGATCATATCAATATCGTCTGTGTCTATATATTGTCTAGCTTAATATTTTAACGCATTGACGAACGACGGAAATGCGTACAAATAAACTGCATCATAATGCATGTAATCATTTTGAAATAGAAATATGATAACTGAACGAATAATATTATTAGTATTTTATCATAAGTTTAACAGAGACAGGATTACATTTTTGTACTTTAAACATGTAGATACTTTTATCTATAGATAATGAAATGCATGGGCATTATTTAATCCAAGGGTTCAACACAGTTCAAAGGGTTCATATTTTCTAAATTGTTGAAAATATTATTTATGCGAAGGGATGATGATACCTTTCGTGTTTACTTTTACAACGTTTATCCACGTTAAAGGAATTTTCCATTTTTAGTTAATCTATGTATATTTTCCAGAGGGTAGCGAAAGCAATTTCAGATGCATAAAACTAGTTTTAGTTACGTGAGAGATGTGTACATATTAATTTCATGTGTAGTTCGCGAAGTCCCCAAAAATAACCCGCGGCACGTAGTTCAATATGTGAAAAAATATCCTACTCATCCTTCTTGCATATAATGGATTATTTAATTAATTTAAAAAAATAATCATTATATTCTTTCGGTATTGAAAAAGTAAAGAAAAGAAAATAAATAAAAAGAAAAGAAAACAATGTTCGCGATTATAATTTAGAACAAAATTCCGCGAACAATATATAATAATAATTATTATTATAATAATAAATGAGAGGAATATATTTCAAAGTACGGGGTAGATAGGAAAGAAAATAAAGAAGAAAGGAAAAGGAAAAGAATGGAAAAGAAAAGAAAAGAAAAGAAAAGAAAAGAAAGAGATAGAGAGAACAAATACAACGATGACCAATCAATAATGCTAATTAAGAAAAACGGGGGATGTAATGAAATGGAAAAAATAAGAAGAGAAAAAAAAATCAAGAGATATTTTGACAGATCAGTAGGGCGTTATTGAAACGTTAATCAATAACGAAACTTCCGTATTTTATTTTTAAGAAAGGTAACGATCGTTAGACGAGAACAAAATTTGTGTCTGTTGGAATTTATTAGGGAGAAAGATAGATAGATAGATAGAGAGAGAGAGTGAGAGAGAAAACGAGAGGATACATTATTTCGACGTCGAATAAATTTACAAGGCTGATGTCAATATTTGACGCAGAGTGTAAACAATTTTGCTCGTGACAACGAGATTCGATGGACTTTACATATTCATAAAGCGACCACTAACGGACAGATAGCTACAGATCTATACGTGTATATGTGTAAACGTATACGTATGCGAATATTCACGGACTTAGATTGTTCATATTTTTGGAGTTGGCATCACTATATTGCATATCTACACTGCAGGGGTTGCTTCGTGCATGTATTTTAGTTATGTATTGCATTTGTATGTATATATATATAATTTATTCTCTATTATACAGAATGATTCGATAATTCATACGAATGCACCTTGTGTTTTTATTTTTAATATGAAATTATTTGCTAAATTTTTAATATATTTTAGACGATAATAATATATATATATATGTATATATGTTATATATAAAATGAAAAGTTATCTCGTTCGTGTAATATTTATCGACTTATTCTACACACGTCGCTTTTTTCTAGACCACGTTTCTCTCTAACGTAATATTTCTTTTCTTATTATTTATACGAGAAAGAGGAAAAGATAGCGAGAGAGAGAGGAAGAGAGAGGAAGAGAGAGGAAAGTGTATACTCATATATTTGTAACTTTTCGTTGCAGGATGATATAAACGGGCGTTAACATGTATCATCTTTCGCTTGAAAAGAATTATACGAGTAACCGCGAACAATTTTTTTTTGTCAAGTTTTGTAAAATATATCGCGTAATTTTCTAATGTCTTACCGATCTTTATTCCTATCAATTTTTATTGTTTTTTTTTTTTGCGTCTGTATAAAAACGAAAATAATTACGTGTCATATTTATTGGTAAAAAGAAAAAGAACAAAAAAATTAGACAATTAGATAGCAGAGAATAGAAAAGTCAATAACCCTTCTTAATTCCCCATACTCTCACATTTTGTAAGTTTTAGATAAGGTTAGTAAGGGTGTAAGAGTTTCCTAGCATAGAAAACTCGTGTTCCACTTTCTTATCATAATTGTCTATCGTGAAACCTTTATGATCTGCAAATGCCATCCAATCTTGCACGATTACTCTTGCAAAAGAGAGATTGAACGAATTAAGGGAACACGACGGGGTTTTCTTTCTCTTTCTCTCTCTCTCTCTACTTGATTCGGCACATACGGTTTGCAAAAGCTATGCGAGTAGCATAAATTTAATAGAGAATTCAAAAGAGATGAGAGAGCAACTAACGTATACCAATTCGACTCTCTATAAAGTCTCTTTCATTTAAATTTACTGCCACCTACAAAATCTAACTTTACTTTTCGCATTCGCATAAATTTGTATCCAATTAATTATATCGATGTTACATAATTTTCCTCTATAAACGAGTTATTAGAATTTAATCGAGTTCTATGCCGAAATTTGACGTACGATTTATTGCAACTTTTTGATATATTGACTTCCAAAATATTTTATTGAATCGTGCCTCAATTTCATTGTTATTCTCCCTGCTTTCACTTTCATTAATTTTTATTTTGTTTACCCTCACCCCTATCCTCTTTCGACTATTTGTATCCATCAGGATTTTACACAGAAAAAAATACGAATTCGCGATGTTTTCACGCGATCGCGTAATACGTCATTTCATTTAAAATGTCACATATCAAGTTTCTTCAATGCATCAATGTAAATAGAATGCAGTATAATATAGGAAATTTAAAGCTTAATACATACATACATACATAGATAGATACGTAGATCTAATTTTAAAACTTAACGTCGTTACATCTTCGGAATGGTTTCGGCATTGAATGAAATCGGTAGAGAAAGCGTCACAGAAAATGTTTGTAACGTTTATAGAAGGAATGAAAGAAAGTTGAGGGGTAAAGAAAAGAAAGAACCCCAAGGTCCGGTTTACTCTCTGACCACGTTCCCATTTATCGTTAGGTAGGATGCAACTATAGTAGGTACGGAACACAAGAATCTCTTTATATGTATGTATGTATATATGTATATGTATGTCCTTCTATGCGTTTGTATATGCGTTTTCTATCATTCTCTCTCTTCCTCTCTCTCTCTCTCTCTCTCTTTCGTTCTATACCATACACAATTCTATGCTATACGTTCTTGGCTTCGGCCCGGATGCAGCTAATCCATTAAGTCTTGTATATCTACGGAATACGACTGCGTCGATCGATTTTCTTTCCCTCTCTTCACTTTTTCTTTATTTCTTTTTCTCTTTCTCTCTCTTTCATTTTCTCGCCGCATTCGTTCATTGCGTCAATAACGACTTGCTTTGGATCGATCGACCAACCAACCAACCAACCAACCGACCAACCAACCGATCCGACTCCTCAAAAGGTGCTACAAGACTTGGACCATGTTATTTCTCCTTTTGTTTCCTTTTTTTTCTTTTACTTTATCTTTTTATTATCGTATATAGATTTTTGTAGCCTTAACGAAAATGATTTCTTTCTTTGGATTGATTCGCCAAATAAATTGGCACTCTTTTTCTCTTTCTCTCACTCTTTTTCTGCAATTAAGGTAGACGTGTGTAGGTTATTCGCGTTAAATGGATTTTTGGACGAAAAAAAAAAATATCTAACATAAGTTTTTCGAGATTTATTTTCCAGCGAGAACATTAGAAATCAGGTTACTCTGATATAGGGTTAAATATCCTGAAGAGTATAGGGCATACTTCAAATGACGCGTTTTAGCTTAATGATCTTGTATTAACTCTTGATAAGGGAAAGGGAACGTTTTCGATGCGAGATAGTAAAAGAAGTTAGACAGAGCTAGTGGGTAAATTCCCTTCGGTAAACTAACGGGACCGGTGGGTGGTCCTAATGAATGTCCTGTGCCGAGGTATAGAAGTCCTTCATTAGCGGGTACCGACAACGAATGTCGCACTTTTTTTCGCTTAGTTGATACACGCCGTTTCCAATTAAAAGTATCGCGCTTTGGTTTTTACGCGCTAATTAAAAGAGATTCCCTGTCTTTTTCTTTCAACAGCTACACGAGGGAGAGAGAGAGAGAAGGGGGGTGGGGTTGTGAGTGGGGGTTGGAAAAGAAAATAAACATAGAAAAATAGAAGGAAATAAAATAAAAATGGGGAATAGGATTTCCAGAGGCAGTGCTTTCTCGAAAAGAAGAAAGTAGAAAGAAAGGAGAATTCCTTTTTTTGGGTGGGGGAGGGGGTGGATACGTTCTTTTTCCTTATCCTTTATTTTTCTTTTAACGTTGACGATATCGTGGATACACATTCCTTTTAGTTTTTCAATGGAAACTTTCTTCGGGATCCTTTTTCTTTTCGTTCGCGTCTTTCCAAGTCTAACTTGCTGAGAAAATATTCTTTGTTCGCGTTCGTTTAATTTCGAGTCGTTGGAAGGAGATAGGATGTTTCACCTAATTTAAGATAAAAGACGTTAATTCCATTCTCTTTTCTTCTATTCTCTCATCTATCCTCTTCTCTTTTCTCTAATATCTATCTTCTTACAATAAATTTATAATTATGTATGATAAATAACGTTCATTGTTAGATTTTCCAGACAATTGACATTCCAAAAAGAATTCCCTTTTGTTTTTCTCCCTTTTTTACTCTTCTTTTTATATCAAATTAATCCTCTATGGACTCCCATGTAACTTTGAATTCTCATACAAATCTATTCAAGGGATGATATCAATTCGATTTTTCGTCGAATGGGTTTGGTCATTCTAGGATCATTCGTATCCAAATTATATTGATTCATTTGTGAGAGAAAAATTGGCCCCCTTCCTTCCCACATAGAGAAGTAAAAAATATTCTATTATAATAAAACGAAAAAGAGTAAAAAAGAGAGAGAGAAAAATATAATAAAGTAAAGAGAAGTTAAATTGTTTTAATGATTGAATTAATTTCGCACGAACGAAAATACGAATTGATGTATTTATTAGAGCAAAAGTTGAAAGCAAATAAAGAAATCACACACAAAAGAAAGAAATAACAATCCCTCTGTTAGAACTGGGGAAAGTTTTTTTTTTGTTGTTTTTTTTTTTATGTACAATTATCTTAGGATGATGCGAATTCTACCAGATGACTCCGAACGAATCTGTTCGACACAAACCGAACTTTTATCCCCCCAATTCTTTTAATATCAGCTTTTAGTATCGTCTCCTTGTTTCTATACTCGATCACCCTTAATTCTCCCTCAGCATCCCCCTCGACTCGAGTTTCCTCGTCAAAGAAAACTTTTTTTGCCAAGTTATTAAATTCGATAAGGGAAG